CTTATTTGGCAGCACTGGGGACTGTGCAATAATAACAAAAATGAACATCTCATATCTAGTTTTGTATTTTCTTGACAAAATTCAGCTGATATTATAACCACAGCTCAGGAATGTATTAAACTGTGCCTGTAAAGGTCTTCTAGCACAAAATGTGAAAGGGCCATAAAAGGTCAGATATATCCTTTTATTCCCTTGTTTAGGAGATTTCTGTCCATTCTGAGGTCCTTTTAAATAGTTTTTAGTATAGACAATATACTCTATATTCTCTATATTCTAATTACAATACATTTTTCAGTATATCTCTCTGTCTGCACATTGACATACTATACAGTTCTCCCATTTGAATCACGCTTTAGCACCAAGGGTGTAGGTTTGGTCTCAGCTTCGGTGGGGACATTCACAGCTAACCCCCGATTCTTTGCAAAAACACACAGAGTCTGGGCAGGTCCAAAATAAGTGAAAGGTGGCTTCATTTTTCAGTTTGTGTCCATTGTCCTTCTAAGATGATTCTTTACTGGATAGCAGCGATGTAGAAGTTTGTAGCAAATTTCCCTTTGCTTGATGGTGATGAGACATTGTGAGGTCATGTCCGTAAATTTTTCCATGGAACATTGTCAGTAGAGTCGGGCTGCTCACAGCGCACGAGTAGGGCTCCATTTGGGAGGTGCACTTGTCGTGATAGTCGCTCTTTTTCTGCGGCGACTCATTATAAGACAAGTTTAACTGAAGATGAGGCCAAGTAAGCTCCTTTTGAAAAGTTTTTCAAAGTTTCAGGTGCTGGCCCTGTCCTGCTGCTTCCCCAGTTTAGGCTCCTGGCACCACTAATGACATCACTCTGGTACAGCCAATGAAATAACAGCAGGGGCGTCATATCACTGAATACATCTCAGAACGTCTAATAAACAAAATGTGAACTAAAATGGGTTCAATTAATACTACTGAGTTAGGAAAAAATACTTTATCGAAACAAATGTATATTTTGGTTTATTAAAATAAAATGTCAAATATTGGTAGGGACTATTTTGTCTTCAACAAATATTGGCTGTGACACGTCCCCACCATCCTTATGCAAACCTACGTCCCTGTTTAGCACTTCATTATAGGACTAGGCAGTTACTGAATCTATATCTAAAATACAAACTACTTGGTTTGTGAAAAATGTGCAGAAGATAAGCGCTTTGAGCTTTTGTGGACAGGGAAGATATCTGTGCATTTCTCTAAACTGGATTTAACCAAAATTAGATTTTTGATGCTGGTTTTCAGTGAGAGCCATGCCAGATTGAACTCCATTTTAGTGCTACACATATTAATCTGGTGTGATTCTCATTCTCTTCGCTCTATTGACATTTTCCACTCCTGTCTCACACTGTGACCTGGCCTGAGCAGACTCCTTTCTCCTGTTGAAACTTCTGCTGTCCTCCTTCGACCTCACAGCTCTCAACTAACTTTGGCCCTCTCTTCTTCTCTTTATTTCTATTTACCATTTTTTTGTTTTGTTTTTCATTTTAATATAGCATTGATTTTGCATTCCTGTGTTTGATTTCAGTATTTCTTGTTGCTGCATCACAATCAACAACATCAAACACCACTGTGTCAGTAAATGTTGCTTGTAAATCCAATCCAAGTGTTGCATTTTATCTTAGGTTAAGGGTTCACGAATCAGTTCTAATCGTTTATTTTAGATAATTGTTATAAAAAGTGACCTAGATGACTGACTTAATTGTTCAACTAAATATGATATGTTTTTGGGCTGGTTTATGTGTTATTACTTAATTAAGTACTATAATAATGACAACTACTGAAACATATTTTGTTTATGCCATTGTATATTTAATAAACTGCTAAAAATTTGGATACACATATTTTTATGTATTTAAATAATTGGAGTCTCTACATAATGCGCTTGGTTTTTACATTAGCACAATGAACGACCCTATTTCTGAAAACACATCTTCTGACCACTTACTTCACCAGCTCAACAGGGACCAGACTAACTCCTTGTTTACAACATAATTAAAATGGCTCACCAGGCTAATTTGACCGAGCTTTAACGCACAAAAACACAGCCAAAAAAAAGTGAAGGAAATCCACAGTCAGAATTTGAAACTAAACTAAAAACCTTGGGGGATTTTTCATTTAAATATTACTTGGAGGTCACACCAGAGAGTTGGCTAACCTCCCGTGTCCCTTACAACAGCATGCCAGCAGGTCCGCACAGTCCACAGAGCCTGGGTGACCTTTGTTGACATTGTACCACAGAGAGAAGCGTCCAGAGGAGGCTGATATGAGCTTAATGCCCTGTCCTGTGCTCCAGCCGGCAACAGCTGCGTAGTGGACTGCCAAACACCAGACAAACCCAATCTGCGCCGAGGACATCTTGGATTACTTCACTTTTAATAACACCTCCAAGATTTGTACTGTGTAAAGTCCGGGGGCTTTGGGAAGAGATGATTAGAGCAGCAAGCTATAACCTAAGCCAATGTCACTGGATGGATGAAAAATGTCTGACCAGCCAATATATAAAACTGACTAAAACGAATAAAATACAGAAAGAATATGTTTTATGTGACATCAGAACATTTGATATGAAAGTCTTAGAGTAGATTGGAACTTAACTATCAAAATGCAGATGTTAAAGGTGCATTGTGTAACTTTTCAGGTGGAGGATCAGTCAAATACTTTTCTCTATGGAATGTTTCACAGTATGGCATTAAACCTTTCTATCTTCATGGAGACCAAACCAGACCAAGTTACAGGTTAGATCTGTGAAGAGGTGACCCGGCTCACAGTCACAATGCCTGTTTTTCTAGGAATTTTTGGGTTATAAATGTAATTTAATAAATATAAGATAGAGCTGTTTAATGTCATACTGTGGAAACAAGTAGGTGAAGATTCCAGTTAGAATTATTCTGGCTTTCTGAATTCCGACAGGATGGTTTCGGTTGTCACTGAAGTCCAGGCTTTGTCAGTCCATCCAGTGACTCCAGTGGTGCACCCTGCCGGTTACGGTGAAGCTGTGTTCTCCATCCCCACTTTCCGCCAGTCCCTCACAAGTTTCTCGTTCACTCCAAACTTTCTTTCTGCGGCTCGATTACCGTTTTAAGCTGCATATTTCACTAACTGCAGCTCTTTCTGCAGGAGACATGAGCAGTACAGTAAAGTGACAGAGGTACAGAGATACTGACACACAAACCTAGAGCCTCTTGAGGCTGTCAGTGTGAAAATTTGAATACATAAATTGCACCGGAGTATAAGTCACGGGAAACACCCAAACCATGAAAAAAGTGCGACTTATTGTCCAAAAAATACGGTACATAATGCACCTTTAAGGCCTGGTTAATGAATAATATTACTGAAATTGACATAAAGTTCAGTGTCTTCTCTGATTTGAGCAGATTTTTCACAATAACTTCAGCAAATAGAGGCTTTTTTAAATCACAAAGGTACGATTACTGTCAATTGAAAAGCGTCATGCCTCATAAAATAAAATAATAAGCCAAGTTTGTGGACCTGATAACTAACAAATTTTGATAAAATTCAACGGATGTTATGGTATTTCTTTCAGAAACAGTGAATGGTCATAGAGTGACACAGGGACCTGCCCTCCATCTGAAATTGTGCTCAAATCTGTGCTTTCACCTCCAAAAGGACAAACCGATCAGATTTGTTGCATTCACAGCAGCCAAAGCCCAGGTGTTACAAAAGCCATCAATAATAGATTTGTTTTGTGTCCCAGAAAACCACAGCATTGTGACTGTCTGCTTCTGCGAACAATACAAAACAGCACAAGCTTATGAGATCCAACCATCGTTCATCATCATTGTCATCTACCTGGGGGCTCAAGTGCACCTGGATTCTGATTTTGACTCTCAACTCCTCTCGTTCAATCTACAGTCCAGTTTTAGTCATCAAGTTGGTCTTTTTATGTTGGTGACACATTTTCCAAGATGCCAAAATTATAATGTCTTTTGTTGGTCTATAACAATTTCATTATTAAAGGTGTACTATGTAACTTTTCTGGTGGAGGGTTGGCTACCTGCTTTTCTCAGTTGAGCTGTAATTGCTTTGCCTTTAATGTCCCACAGGACAGCATTAATTCAGTTACAGGTGTTCTTCTCTTCTCTCCATAAATCGGACCTGTAACCTGGTCTGGTGGTATGATTGGCATAACCTTCTTCTTGTGTCCATTTGGATCGATACGTTTAATACTAACTGTAGACATGGCACTGTAGACTGTAGACTGTTGATTTTGGAAATAGTTAGAAATCTGTAATAATTAGGGATGTAACAATAACCAAAATATTGTGACATTGTATCGTCAAAGTTCTCACAATAATATCGTGGACCATCACAATATATCGAATTACAAGTCTCTTTGCTTAAATTAAGAGTTATGGTGCAGCTAAAAAAAGACAGAGGGAACTACATAGACGATGATCCTTTGCTCCATTTCAGTGTAAACTACAAGAAGAAATAACAGTTCTAAGCACTTTTAAGTCTTAGTTCTTTGGATTAAGTCTTGTCAAGGCATTTTAAGAGGAAAAGTAGCATATTCACAGTTTTGTTTGTCTCCACAAAATATCGCAATAAAGATCGTACAGTGAGATTTGGATATCGTTACACCCCTAGAATTAATAGTAGAAATATGAACCATCAACCATGTGATTAAAGTTATTTGTACTGTATGTTGTTAACTCTTCAGATACTTTTGTGTTGGTATACTATTTTCATTTATATGCCTTACTTATTAGAGTAGTTCATACATTATAGCCAGTATTGCATACAGATAATATTTATTTGTGACAAATGAAATGTGTGTTTCCTTCAAGGAAACAACTTTTTCTGCTAAAAGCCAACCAGCAAAAAATATGTACATATATTAATACAACAGAAAAAATTATTCATACAAATGGGTATCTCATGTAAAATAAGCAGTAAGAGATCGCAACTCAAAATGACCTCTCCATCAATAGTGAGTGAATGATATCTTTGTTACTTACTGCATTTGTTCCATTCAAATGCACTCCACTGTCGAAAAGAGGGGACGAGACGCGGCTGCTGTAATCACTGGACGGCCCTGGAGAGCCTACAACAACAACACACAGTCACTGCTTAACATTCAACCCAACCTCACGTCAAGATGGAAATTATACTCTTTTCAAAACAAACAATGATTATTTATAGTCAAAAGTTGTATTTAAGCCCCAAACTGTGCTGTGTAGTTTCATTAGAGTTATTATGGACTTTGGAGCTGCCCTGGAGTAGGGATCAGTGTCCAGGGAAGACAAATGCTGGCCTTTGATATCATCCAAGCCTGACTTTGGTAGTGGTCACACTTCAGTAAAATGTGGCAACACAAAGCACTCCTGGCTCCCTCTGCTCCGCTCTGTGCCACCGCGAAACAAAGAGAAGGCTTAAAGCGGATACAACCTGCACTGTTTCATAGTGAAGCTAAGCAGATGTCGCCCACAGCCAAACTACGCTGTCTCTGTGAATGCTAACACACACTAACTGCTTTCTGTTTCAAGTAAAATCACTGATGGAGCTATAATTTAGGCTAAAACAGAAAAAAAAGAGTTCATTCATAAAAACAGGTAAAATAAAATCATCTGAGACTTGTTCTTACTCTTTGTATTCATGGATTTGTGCGGAGACATTTTGAGTACTTCTAACAATTTGTTTTGAATTGTTAATCGCTATGGTATTAGAGCTAATTTTCTTTGAAAGCCATACTACAAAAACTTTTCAAAAACCAATCGTGTAATAAAAATATTACATCTCTCCTTGATCAAATGATAATATCTGTAAAGGATGGTAACAAAGAGAGATATAAATAGATAATAAAAACATAATAGTATTCATTCCATCTTCCAGTTTCATGCAAAATAAGTTCACGTTGAATAGAAAATTTTGTGTTCATTTATAAAAATATATTTTACAATGCAATTTCAAATCTGGCATGCCTCCTCTGTGGAGTGGGGAGCCCTTCAGGGACGCACAGTGGTCCATGCACAATACCAAGGGAAATAGGCCAGATGATGGAACAGGAAGTAACAGGTAATGAGCTCTGCAAAGCTGAGAATTTTCTTCACCATTTGAGGTCCACTCATATATCCTCTCCAAAATATAATTGCAGTTGCTATTTTTTCATGTTTTAAAATCGTGAAAAATAGTTGTATTAGTTAATGTAATCATTGTGTTAAACAAATGTATAGCCAAACTGCAAATACTAATACTGAAAATACTCTTGACATTATAAGTAAAACTGTGTTGTAAATGAATTGTCTTATCTGTTAAGTAGTTGTTATTGTAGTATTTTGGCAAAAGTAGCACATATAGAAGAAGCAGTATAATTAAAACCACAGTATGTAATTTTAAGGCTAAAAAAAATGACTAAAATAAAAGTTGTTTTTTTTCCTACTGAAAAACATCTCCACAAACCTGACTCTTTGTTTCCATAGAAACAAAGTCAGAGATTCTAGAATCAAGATTATAGCCAAAGTTCTTTTGGCTATAATCTGTATGGTTTAAAGCAGGGGTGTCAAACTCAAATTGACAGCGGGGCAAAATTAAAAACTGGGACTAAGATATGGGCCAAACTAAATATTTATTGAAAAATTTCAACATCTGCATGTTTTCTCTTCTTTTGAGATATGTCATGATAAACCTTTCCTTATTAAAATAAATGTGTAATAATAGTTTTGCTTAAACAGTGAATCCAGAACAAGCATAATATAAAATAATAACAATATTTTAAATAAATAATGTCTCTATAGCCTGTCTGTAGCCGGGGGGTCAGCTCTAATGCATATTGATATGACCTCACAGGCCAAATATAATTATATCGTGGGCTAAAATTGGCCCCTGGGCCTGAGTTTGACATGTCTGATTTAAACTTTCTATTGCCCTGCAGGTCACCTCCAGAAATTTACATACTGTACCTTTAAAAGAAACCGTTGTGATTTTGATGTTTTTGTTTAATATGCCTCAACAGGGACCAAAACTTTGCCAAATCTTACAATGCACTTTCAAAACTGCTTTGGCTGTCCTACTTTTTGTCATTGTGAATGTCATTCAATCTTTCTTTCTCCGACACACCGTGTGGCTTCTCCCTCTTATCTCCCCCCATTTTTATCTTGGCCACACATCCCCCATCCCCAACCTCTTAGTGTCTCCGCTCGGATAGTTCAACTTTTTTTCACCGCTTTGAACCGCTTTACTGTACATCATGACCAAAGGCTGTGGGTGTTTCTGACATTACAGCTCGTGCCAGGCCAGTGAACAGAACAATTTATAACCGCGAAATAAACTCACGTGTTAAGTCTAGCCCCAAAATCCTATAAAGGTGGCGTATTCTTTTAGTGCCACATCAAATTGCAGTTTCAGAGTGGCTTCACATGGTTATAAAAGTGTAGGAATGGTACCTAGAGGCAGTTTGAGGAAAGATGGCACTTCTCGCAGGTAGCGCACGGTGATGGTGACCTCGTCTCCAGCAGTTCGCAGGAGATGGACCTGCCACAGATGGAAGAGAGAGATAGAAGGGTACAGACAGGGAGATGGAGTGATAAAAGTGTAATGTTATAGAGGAGTAGAGTTAATGTCAAACCGTAAACTGCAAAAGTGAATGACTGCACAAGATAGAGAGAAGAGATGAGGACTTTAACAGACTTTTAACAGGGATATAAATTCTATGATCTTATAAGTTGGTAAGGACTGTACGATAGGAGAGGCCATGTCTCATAGTGGTGAAGATAAAAAGTCACAAAGCTATTAACTAGTTCAGGGGTAAAATCCAATTTACTGCTACCTAAAACATAGAAAACAAATTATTCTTCCTCTGTTTTTGGCCCTCTTCTAATTCAATACTGATCAAAATCTATTTTATAATCTTTAAAATATATTAAAATCTGGTCTGGACTGATTTGAGTAAAATGTTGAGGATGAGTTCACTTTCATAAATGGAAAATAAATTTTTAAAGGTACACTACGTAACTTTTTTGGTGGAGGATCTGCCTGTTTTTCCATGTACAGAAGTATGGCATTAAACTTAATTAGGTACATTTTATTGTACCTACAGAAAAAAAAAAATCCTCTGCATTTGACCCATCCTTCAATGACCCTGGGGCATCTCCTTGGACTCATCTCTGTGATCTTTTTGCTTGGTCAGGACAACCTTAGCTGGAGGACTGTACCTAGGCGAGGAATCAGAATACACTAGACGATTGTAGAAGTTGTAGATCATGCAAGGGCCAATCAGCGAAGAGCTGTGAAGCCATGACGTCAAACTCAAGTGCCTGTCTGGGTCCATTTTGTAGTACAGCACAACAGTAAACAAAGTGGTCGAAGTGGATTCTGTGTTGGCAACGATTCCTGAGATCGAGGATTTAAAGCCAGAACAAAGAGAATGTTTGGTGAACATGCAAACTCTGCATAGAAAGGCCAAGGTGACCCAAGGCTCAAACACGGAACATTCTTACTGTGAAGAGAGAGTGGCAGCCCCTCAGCCAGCTATCTCCATGGAGACAAGCAGAGGAGGATCAGAGGAGAGATTAACCCATTCTTAGTCACGAAAATGTATGTAATTGAATGCTATACTGTAGAATATTCTAGGTAAAAACATCTCCACTGAGCAGGTGGCAGTCTCTCCTCCAGAAAAGTTTCTTAGTGCAAATTTTTATACACATAACTATTCATTTATTTCTGATTAGTTTACAGCGATTATGGGGGAGAGATGGTGCACCCCAATTAGTCACGATTAGGATTCATAAACTAGAGCAACATCTATCACAGTCTCATTCAGAGGGCAAATTGAAATCACTAATCCCAATCTACTGTCACATAACGTTCCCAAATCTTCAAGGTGATGTTTGTGAATCCCAGATCCTCTCTTCTGCCATCTCAGCCGTCCTTCTTCTCCCCCATCTGTCGACTCTGGGCGGGATGGTCTGCCTCACAGCCCCGTTAGTGAAGAGAAAGTGCTCATTGTGTGTGTTTTGATGCAGTGGAGGTGCAGGGAAGATAGAGAACAGCTTGTCTGCGATGAGAGGAGGAGAAGGCTGACAGACGTGATCAAGTGTTCAAACAGGAAAACTCGCCACGAAGAAGTGAATGACATTTTGTGAGTGGATCAAAATATTACGCGCCTTAATTCCTCCTCCGACTTAGATATAGGACTGTCTGCATTGTAATAAGCTTCTAAACAGTCTATATAGTGGATGCCCTAGGCTGGTTGTTTACAGGTTCGGTTGGAGAGAGGTGGTAAACAGTGGCTGACCCTCTTATTATAGACTGCTCCATTGTTTTGCATGGCTTTGATGTATTGCCAAAAACATGAATGCTTCCACATGGTTTTCATCGTATACAACTGTCTCCGTTTTGTCTGCTTTTTATGTAAATTCATTTGATCTGTAAGCGTTCTGAAAGGCGCAAAAGAAACTTGATTAAAGCTACTCAGTCTAAAGAATCCAACATTCTTTTCCATAACTTTGAGAACTATGGGAACTTTTGGGCCTTTGCTAAAGTCAGGACAAGTTATCTTCAAATCAGAATGTAAACTGTGAACTAACTTTACTGTAAAAGGAGCTGAAACAATAGCAGTGGTTACATAATAGTCCTACAACAGAACTATTCTCTTTGAACCACAGTTGTTTTACAGTTAATTCGCTAGGATCAAGCCACGACAATGGAATACGACGAAGATATTAAGACAGTGGATATATATGAGTAGCCTGATTCATCAGCAAGTTTCACTTTGTAGAAACCGTCTGACCTTGCAGGATTAGAATTCGTTCGCTTGACGGTAGGCGAGCACTTTTTTATTTAACCAATCGCTGCTATTTGGTTGTGATGTATGTAATGCTCTGCTAAAGGTGCTAACTGGTATATTAAGCTTTTCCCAAATCCCATAGGAAGAAGGGCAATAATGTCTTTCCCCCTCTTTGCTTTAAATCCTTGATCTCAGGAATAATTTCCAACACAGAATGTATGGCTCTTCTCTGATTGGCTGGTGCCCAAACTCACACTCCCAGGGTTCTTGCAAACCGTCTTGTGTATTCTGATTCCTGACCTAGTCGCTGGACAGAAATGAAATTGAGCGGAGGCACTAGGTGGTGCCAGCTTGGCTAAGATATGATGGCTGGGGGGAGACTCAGGGTGGGGGCTCCATCTCCAATTCAAAATGGCCACCCAGCTGATTTGGACCCACCCCTCCTTAAAGATGATGTATTCAGGCTGAAGGATGGACTAGAGACACGGGGTGGGAGGAGAGACATGGGTTGGGTGGGAGGGAGGGGGTTGAGAGAGCTGAAGTAGATGGTGTTGTCAAGATAGGCCGTATACATAGGGATTCTGGGTAATTGAAGGCATGGTTGAGATAAGCTGTGGATAGCCAGAGGGGAGGTTGAGGCGCGGTCCAGCTCCTCAATCTTAGTTAGTCAAATTAACTCTATGTGCTATCACTGCTCATGTAGTTATGGGTTCTTATGTAGCCGTCCCAGGACTAGTCCAATGAGAATCATCTGGTCTTTTGACAATTTCTTTTATTTAATTTACTGTTTTGTGTGTGTGAGCTTCAAATAATCAAAGGTATGGAACAAAATAAACCTTGGTTTGAAAAAAGGCTGATTGAAAGTGATGTGCAGTCATTCTGTGCCTATAGTCTCTACAGCTCCCACCAAACACATAATCGCACTGGCAAGAAATGTGAAACACAAACATTCCACTTCTCACTAAGGCACTTACTTGAACTATTTTGTCTAAATTTAAATTCTGTCACAGTGAATCCTATTTAACAATAATGTTTGTTTACACATTTTGCAATTTTAAAAAAATGAAACTGTACGCACCACTTCCTCATGAGTGCAGTGCTCTACATTAATGCCATTGACCTGAAAAGAGAGAGACAGCGAGAACGAGAAAGAGAGACAGCGTGAGAGCGAGACAGAGAAACAGAGAGTCACTTACAATATTACAGCAATGAATATTTGAAACCACAGCCCCCTCTGGCAGAGTTATCATAAATATGTAAATAAATGCATCTATCTAAAGAAAAAAAATCGCAAATAAACACCACACCGTAATGAAGCAAAGGTGGAGGCAAATGCAATTCAGATTATAATAAGTGCAATATGAATGTTTAATATTGCTCAGCTGTCCGATGGATCTACTTGATATTCTGGATAAACAGCAGATCCAATAAAGCCGGGCTCCTGCCAGACGCACTCAAATTAACTTTTTACACTCACTTTAAATGAGTTTCATCATTAAATAAGACTTTTTTGTGAGAACTACTCCACAATCAAAAGTTATCTTTAGTGGCTTCCTGAATCTGAATTAGACAGAACCAATTAGGAGAAATGAAATGAGCGATATTACGGAGAATGTATGAAACGATAATATTCTTGTCAACAAAAGTAATGATCTAATTTCCACTATGAAATTACAACGTGCCCAAAAGTAACAAATTGATATGGCTGAAAATTGGAGCACTGACCTGTAGAACTGCATCGCCAACGAACAGCATGCCAGTCTGATCAGCTGCAGACAGTGAAAGGTCAAAGGTTAATGAAAACATGGCCAGATAATAGGTCTTCTGATCCACATGGGGATATGGTAGAAAGTGCAATCAGTGTTTCTGTCAGAGGAATCACAGGAATCAGTCAAAAATGACCCTAGAAAGCATGAAAATTAGAAATAATTATAAAAAAAATATAATTAATGTAGAAAAAGACACAGATAGTGTCATCAGGAGATTTGCTTTAATATCATTCAGTTCATTATTTCTGACTCGGAGGCACAAGCACAACTCATGTGATGAAAGCATGTAGTTCATTTGGAGGAAGTTATATTTCTGGTAGGGATTTAACAATAACAGAAATATTGTGATATCATATCCTCAGAAGTCTCATAATAATTTCGTGGGGTGTCACAATATATCAAATCAAGTTCCTTTGCTTAAATACATGGTTTTATAATAGAAACTGCTTATAAACACAGAGAACTACATATCCCATGATTCATTTCAGTGCAAATAGCATGAAGAAATATGTTTTTACTTGAATTCTTGGGATTATGATGGAAATAATTCACACCAAAATCTTGCCAAGGTATTTTAAAAGGAAAAAAAAAAGTTTCCTATCTACAATTATATCAGCCTTTAAATAATATTGCAATAAATATCGTATCATGAGATGCATATCGTGATAATATCGTCCTGAGAAATTTGTTTTGTTCAGATTAATTTAGAACTGTGTTTTTCCAGACACATATTTTTTTGAATTATTCATTCAGAACCATTCAGTACCACACTTGATGTTGGTAAGCTACTGCTGTAGCCACGGCTGCTCTGTGGTAGACTGACAGAAGCCAGACTGCTCACTCACTCGCCACATTCATACATGAGCAAAGTGGGTTAAATAGATGAATACATTAAAAAGAAATAATAATAATTTGTCTGTTTCAATGGGTGAATGAATGCTGTGCGCTCTGGACTTCTCACACCCTTTTTCCAATGTGTTTTTTATACTGAAAATGGCAAATAAACTGAACTGAACTGAACTGGGTGAAGTGGACACAACAGTGTGCACTAGAGTCCCTGCTGCCCCACTGTGACACCTGCTATTCCCTGCAGTGTTCCATCTGAGTACTAAACAGTTCACCTAGTTCACCTTATTTAACCTGAATTTGTTCTGATTGCTTCATCCAGTAGTGATTATTATTAGTAGTATTTCAATAGTACATCCAGTAGTACACAAGCTCTCATTCACTCACATGTTGGTCTAAATAGGAAGGGTCCTCACTTCACCTGATTGCATAAAAAAGGCAAACAGCAAAATATGTTTCTCCATACATCACATCATACCGAGACAGAAGCAGCTTAAACCAATCATTCAAACCCAATCATCAATATTGAAATCCCTGATCTTATCCGGATATGAGTTAACATACAGTATATCCCCTTCCATTAATGTGCCCTGCCTGTGTTAGGAGGAAATCAATAAAAAGACGAACTACCAACTTGGTCTGAGCAGCAGAGGAGGTTAACCCTGCAGAAAAATACCATGTTATGATTGATTATAGCGCTGATTCAACTCTAGAGGTAACCAGCACAGCAACAGTAGCTGTACAAGTAGTCTCAGAGTATAAGCTACAAGCAGTACTAGCAATCTGCTGCCTAAAAAATACACATGCAGCTTTATATTAATTTACATAATTACATTTTATATTAATACAAAGAGATAGCTGCACAAAACGTGACTACACAGCTCCCTTATAGGTTTGTGGTAAAAAAAAAGAGCTTGGGTGAAGTAGTCAATATTAATGACATAATATCAATCCATATCAATCAATCTCTGTAGTTAGTAGTAGCAGTATTAGTAGTCTATAAGAAGTAGTAGTAATAGTGGTAACAGTATTAGTAGTATAGCAGGAGCAATAATGATTGTGGAAGTTGACGGGTAGGTTTGCTGTTACATGTGCAATTAAAAAACAGGTCTGCATTGGGTACTGAGATGATACATTGACATTTTCTCCTTTTACTTGTGTAACAGCTTGCAGTACAATTACTTGTAATTTCGCTGTGTGATTCATTTGAACTGGTATGACTTGAGTAAAAATTTGGAGTACTTCTTCCAGCTCACATTTAACTTTTAATGACAACTGAATCAATACTTGCTTAAATCTTTCAGGACCTCCCTTGTGTGACTGACCAGCACGTTTCAACATGATGAAAAGATCTCTCAGTTCAGAACAATACTGATTATTTCATATCCTGACCCCGTATGTCCCACTTATATACATATTTTACCCTAAAATATGCCTAAAACTGAGCAGCTTGACTGTTGTGAGATTTTAAACATGTTATAATGTTGTTATCTCATCAAAAACATACTCGGAGTTGTGTTTTGTTTCATTCACACGTTTGAGTAATCCTGCATTTTTAGTTTGTCTACATCTCCAAAGCTAAAAATGCTCTGTTCCACCTTCTGATGTCATGTAGTTGTAGTTCTCATGTTAACAGCTATCTTTTACCTTTAAATGAGTAGAGATTGGGTGTGCTGAAATTAAATGACTCTAGTAAAGGGGTATGGAGTTGAAAAGGTCAATGGTCACATTTTTATATAGCGCTGTTCCACCTTCATGGCACTCAAAGAGCTTTACATCAAGGAACCACTCACCCATTCACACACATTCATACACAAGTGTACGCAGACACTAGGGGAAAGATGGGTTGTGTCTTACCCAAGGACACAACAACAGCATTTGTGGGAGATGGAATTGCACTGCCAACCTGGAACAGTCTTTTCTGTCTGAGAGAAGAACACAGCCTATATACACAGTCTGCTGGATTTGGGTATTAAACATGTGAATGAAACAAAACTCAAATCCTAGTATGTTTGTGATGAGGAAACAATAGGAGTGTACCCATATCCAACTCTCACGATACGATATTTATTGCGATATTTTGTGGAGACTAACAAAACTGTTAATATGTTACTTTTTCCTCTTAAAATGCCTTGACAAGACTTAATCCAAAGAACTAAGACTTAAAAGTGCTTAGAACTGTTATTTCTTCTTGTAGTTTACACTGAAATGGAGCAAAGAATTATGGTCTATGTAGTTCCTAGGGCTGATTATCATTAACAAATTGCCAATATGATACATAGGCCATGATACAATACATATCTCGATACAGTGCACTTTTGATTTATTATGATATATTTCAAATCAATTCGATACGGTTCAATAAAAAATAATGGCTGTGATACAAAAAGTCTTTGTTAAACCACTTCTTGTGCAAATTAAATATGAAACCCAAACATTTTAGCGGGTAGCACTCATGCCTCACAGCAAGAAGGTTCCGGGTTCGATCCCCGGGTCGCCTTTCTGTGTGGAGTTTTCATGTTTCTAACCGTGTCTGGATGGGTTTCCTCCAGGCGCTCCAGTTTTCCCCATCAACACAAACATGTTACAGGTCTCCAGGAAGAACAGTTGATAGTCAAGGTCAAGGTCAGTTAAATACAATTAGTGAACCAGGGACAACAGATGGAAATTAGCACTGGTGCTACAACCTGGTACAATGCATCTCTCCTGCTAAGGTTCATGTAAAAATTGTGCACTGTCCATGTCTCAAATAAATAAACAAATAGATGCAACATGTCAAAAGTGCCTCTTAAAAAGTTTCTTTCCACTAAACCTTAACAAGCAACTAAACTGTAGCAATGTAACAAAATAATTTAGTAAAATATACTAAAAATACTCAAAAAAAATATATCGATACAGCAGCTCACGATATTGATATTGTATCATCATATTAAACAATACGATATATCAATACTTCAATATTTTTGCACACCCCTAGTAGTTCCTTCTGTCTTTTTTTAGTTATTGCTACACCATAACTCTTAATTTAAGCAAAGAGACTTGTAATTCGATATATTGTGATGCTCCATGATATTATTGCGAGAACTCTGACGATACAATATCACGATATTTCGGTTACTGTTACATCCCTAGGAAACAACATTATAACATAGATCAGAAAAACGTGTAATATGCGCCATGTAAACAGCGAAGTCTCTTACCTACTTGATCTTTAAAAATCTTGGAGATCACCACGGGCACGTTGTGTTCTGCGCCGCCCTGAAAAGCAAAAACATCAGGAACAAAACGTAGTGAGGAGCTGAATTCCTTGACTCACAAAGTTGCCCGCTCTGCTTTCTTAGACACAATCTAAGCATCTAAGCATCCCATAGCAGTTTTATTCCGACTGCTTATAATCAAAACTACTTACTTTGATGCTTAAGCCCAGCCCGCCAGCCGCCTGTCTTCGGAGTACAACAGTTCTGTGCTTTAGAAAGGGGGAGAGTTTCTTATTGGCAAAAAGGAGATCGAGAACATTTAAAAAAGAAGTGATTTTTTTTTTTTTTTTTACAGTTGAATGCAGTATGAATGACAATGCGACTTACATTGACTTGGGATTCGCTGCCTTGCGTGCACACCACATCCAGCCTCTGAATGGTTAAAGCCTCTTTGGTCAATTTCAGGCAGACATCATAGGTATTGTGGGTCTCCTCATTGTAGAGCAAGGCAATCCCCGATTTCGTCTGTAAGAATTGAGAGGAGTATTGACATTTTCGCCAGAGCGGGCCAATTATAAACACAATGGAGAGTTTAATCTTCTTTAGCGAGTGCGTCATTTGAGCATCACATCACTGCTACCGTACGAGTTTGGTGTTAATTGGTTTGTGTGACATTTAAAAGTAGGAAGCACTAGTGGAGGAAAAACAGGGTATTAAAATTCAGAAAGAGATGAAAACATTGGTGTTCATGAAAAAATTTGAAACTCAATTTTGAAACTAAGGAAAATGCAATAATAACAGAACAAAGAAACACATTTTCTACACAAAAGTTGAATAGGTTCTCTAATTACTGGGTTTCAGACGACATCACAACGTTCTGTAATAAATAAATCCAACAATTTAAAAAAAATATGGTTGAAATCCAGATTTGTGCATTGCAGTGGGTTCAAATGTCTAGAAATGATCAGATTAAACTTTTGTGACTTTATTTTTTGAATATTTCATGGGAAAGTACAATGTAATCAGTAGGAAAAAGTGTCTCTTACCCCTCATCAATCCAACCACCTTCATTTAGTCTGATACTAGTTCCGAATTAGATCAGGACCATGCTGAAAGGTCAACATTTTTGTTATTTACGTTATAATTTTCATTATCAATACTTGTTCAATCTACTTTTAAGACCCATATTGGTCAATCTCTACCATAGACTGTATAAAAAATTGGATTGGAGGGAGTGTGACGTCACCCATAGCGTTCACCTCCAGTCAAAGGAAGCTCAAGAGGTCGCAATTATAGGAGTGAATTTGGAGCCGAGTTCCCCATAGATGGATTTCTGGGCAACGTCACAGACAAGCACAGCCGAGGACCAAAAGATACACAAAGACACACACAGAGATACCCAGATACACACACAGATACACACACACACACACAGATACAGATACACACACAGATACACACACAGATACACACACATATACAGATACACACATACACACACAGATACACACACAGATACACACACAGATACACAGGCAGCAGCATTCCCCACATTACAGTGAGAAGTTGTTGTGTTGTTAATTGCACAAACAGAAGTGAGAATGGTTTATGGATCAGGCAACTGGTGCCATTGCTGAAGACCAACGTACTCAGGTCGCCGGCACGATCAGAACTATTCAGAGTTTCTGTGTCATTCGTTGAGATGTTAGCCATCCTAAACTAGCAAACTAAGCCTCTTGTACTGTGTACAGTAGGCTATAGTCATAGAACATTTAGTCTAGTACAGTAGAGTACAGTACAACACAGCAAAACACAGCAGAGTACAGTACAGTACAGTGAGGTACAGTAGCCAATTATGTCAGGTCATAAATTAAGTCATTGTAAATATTTTAGCTACTTCACCTTAAGTTCATGTTCATGTTATTAAGATGACGAAGAAGCTCAATAAAAACATACTACATTGGAATTTTCACAAATTTGTTGGACATGTCAGTATCATATAAAGCTTTAAATTCAGAGAACTCATTGGTTTTAAACTTTTCTGTACACACATTTGATAATTCTATGGATCAACTGAATGACCGCTAGCTAGCATAGGCTCATTAGGTCAAGCCGCTGTAACGATGAAAATGAAAAGCGACAAAAAACTCTGACATAATTTTATTAAACTTTGTTATCAGTGGATAATTTTGCCATCATAACATTTATACTTGACAAAGCATTCCTGGTGAATAAACAACAGTGATCGTAAAATAAGGTGCTGGTGCAACCTGAGATATAACTGGTTAGCCCAGGGGTGGGCAAACCTTTTGGCTCGCGGGCCACATAGGGTCCTAAAATTTGCCTGAAGGGCCGGACAGAACACAGGACATATCGTGTTAGGAGCTCAGCTGCATTATATTTGTATTAACGCTTATGTAGGAAGCGCACTACGTACTACTACATTGCCTTGAAAGATCAGCAACACACAAAAAATCAACAGATCCGCTCCACTGCACCCCACAGGCGATAAAATCACGTGCGATTTATCAAGACTCTTAAGACATTCTGTGCATTAACTCCTATAACACAACATCTATAAAGTCCTTGTGATTGATTTTTATCAACTCAAAATGGAAGCAGTGCAAAGTTATATCTTGAACACTACTACTTCACTCATGGTCTGAATAACTCCTGTAAGAACACTTTCCCATAAAGCATTGCGGCCAACATATGCCGCACCTCAATGTATATTTATATAGTGCGCCATCTACTGGGAAACGCCGGAAATGCATGAAAAATAAAACATCAACAAGGTTTATTATTGTAATTTATTCCAGTTTGGCGGGCCGGATTAAAAGGTTTAAAGGGCCGCCCCTGGGTTAGCCTCCTGCGGCTACATAATATAATGTGATTATGAGAGTAAATTAAACAATTAAGGTCTAAAGACGGCATGATATGTTATTCTAAAGGTGTTAGCAAGAGTACACAAACCACACATCATACACTGTACAGAGCTCCAATAAGATCTGTAATGCTAACCACTTAGCCTCTTAGCATCTCTTGCTCCCCGGCTGCGAGTACATCTCCAAATGTTTCTAAACAGGAAACCCATCTTAATACAAACATTTAAGACAAAAATGATGAGACTCACTGCAGAAGTTACAGAGAGAGGGGGGGAATTTTTCAGTGTATATTGGTCTAGTCTATTGGAGAGTTGATGGAGCCAGAAGGGTCCCCATGCTCACTTCCTGTTTGGAACGTGGCGGTAAGCGGGTTAGCTATGTCCACTTGTATACAGTCCATGAGCTCTACTTTTAATGCTAGTTTCAGTATTGATTAGTATCTGGAAATCAATTTTGACAACCCTATAAAAATACAGTTCAGAAATGTGTTACAAAAATGGGAAGTTTGAGTGGAGTAGATGAGAATAGCTCGGCCTCACATTGGAGATAAAAGAGCCCAATTTAATCTAATAGTAGAGCGTCATTTGCTAACCTGTATTTAAACCAGAGCAAGTGATAGCTCCCCATTTTCACTACTTTCATGACTTGTCACGTTATCATTATAGACGATGGAGGAAAGTCACAAAGGGTCATGAAAACCTCTTAGTAATACAAGGTCCAGCGCAAATAGATGTTCATCAAATTCTGTCTACTTCTGTGTAAACATGACTATTCACATAATATCCACAAACCCATCATTATTCTTTGCCACAACAAAACCTGGCCCAGTTTTGACACATTTCAGTGGGTGGTATCAATAATATTGGGTCCAGATGGAGCCTCAGATCCACACAAAAAACAAACAAATAATTTCAATTTCGGGCTGGTTCTCGAATTTATTGACAAATGCAAAATGATGATTTCTGTTTCAGAGTTGCTGTTGAGATCGCTGAGGACAAAAAGCATCGCAAGACAAAAGAAACCAAATTTTCCTCTTTAGGTGGGGGGTCCAAGTTTTTCCTTTCTCCATGGAGATGTTTTTTGCCTGGAATGTTACAGAACGGCATAAAACTTTACATATCAACTGTGACAAGCACGTGATCGCACCAAGCCAAGTATTGGTCAGTAGGACTGTAATAATCAATAAATTAATTAATCATACGGTAACTTTTAACAAGCTCGATAAGTTTTCTGGCCCCAATAATTTCTATTTGCATCCTTGATTGATTTCCTCGTCTCTTTCTCTCTCTCTACCAAAGAGACTGAGTGTCAAAAGGCTTCTATCACTCTTTGACTCCTCTTGTTTCCTTAGCGTATTGACGTTTGAACGAACGTGTCAGCATAGACCATGGGGGAATAGACTTATTTATTTTAACAGATCCATGACTGTATCCCATGGACTGTATGAACGGATTATTTGTTCATTAACACAGCGGATGCACGCGCAGCCTGAGTGCAGAAAGCAGCTGTCTTGTGTGGTTTAACATGAAGCTTTAGCACTGCCATCATAGCACCAAAATAGTTCATCGCAAATCAACACTAGTGAGTTGGATACGTCTCAACGGCCACATGCATCAAATGCAGCAAGTGCGCAAACGACGAGAAGAAATGGTTCAAACCCCAGCAGCTGACATACACCCAAACCTAGTCCACACAACTAGCCCCGCCCCCAGGAGAGACCAAAATCCACTGAAATCCCACAAGACACCAACACGACACCAGCCAGGACAGCGGCTCTTTCTGCAGGAGACATGCGCAGAAATCCCTTTATAAAAAGGTGGACTAAGTGAGGAGCCAGACTCTATATTATGAATAGGAAACAGCATCACATGTAGCGGGTTAATACGAACACTTCAACACCAAAATGCTGAGGCTCACAGCAGAGAGAGGAGCCACAATATTCCAATGTGAGTCAATTATGAATAAAATAACTTTTAAAGGCAATTTTGTTACAGAGACTTAATAATCCATTTATCAATAGTTTTGGTTGTGTTTGGTTCAACAATTGTTTATTCAAGTGCATTTTTTGTTAACAAGTCCTTGCTGTTATTCAGACTACATTAGGCTGTTCTTATGTTAACAGGTCTTTTTTATTTAGGCCTATTGTTTTTGGTTGTCTTGCAGTTCCAGTGTTAAATGTTCTTTAGAAAGTAAAGTTTATTGATCTTTGAAAGTGTGTATTTGCATTTTTATCCCATTGTCATTATATTAGTTGAAAATGGTCTCAAAATGTCAATATTATCATTTATCACAATAATTTCTTGGTCAATTTATTGTCCAGCAAAATCTGTTGTTCAGCAGCTACCAAAGCAAACACTGTCAAAAATGTTTAATATTGTCTGAAAACTCGAGAAAAAAACACAACATGGATTTAAACGACACATTTTCAAGAGCCTGTGATTAGTGCGAGTGTTCACGGTCCTGTTTAGGTGTTTGATTTTCGACAAATATGAGTTTGAGTAACTGAAATAACTGCTGACTGTAATTTATTTCATGTGTGAGAGACTTGTTTGACAGCACAAATGAGCTCATGTGTTGAAGTTCCAGCTAAATCAGTAATTTTTGGTCAAATTGTGTTAAAACAAAACATGGATTAAAGTCTAATAAAACCTCAGACAGAGAAGAGTCTACAGTTAGCGTCACACTTCCAGGGAACGTTGAATACATCATCTGCAAAGTATCAACTGAATAGACGAAAGATAGATATGTTTTTAATGTTGAAATGTTGCTCTTGAGAAAACTAGAAAACTTACACAGAAT